TCCCACCCACTTCCCATATTTTCCGATATTTTCTAGGAATCGCCGATCAAATTATGTCTGTGTGTTTTCTTCCATCCTGAAAGATGTGGGCGCGTGAATAGAGATGGCATCTGGGGAAACTTGGCAGCAGGGCCGGGACGAAATCGTGAACTGGGCGTCGGAGGCCAAGGTCGACATCTGAGTCCCGCCCCGCGCGGGCCACCATGGCAAGACTTGATCCTGTATCCTTCAGCCTGAGGTCGGGACTGTCCCCCTAAAGGCGGATGTTGGACGACGAATGAAAATTAGCCTGGCAAAGGACCCAACCATATGCAGTGATGAGTGCTGCACTTGTGAGTAGTACCGTTTTCGGTGGAGCTCCCTGTGGGGCCACGAACCTATTGAGATGTGCGCCGAAATGAGGGTGGAACTGTATGCGAACGCTGCCACTGGGGCCTTCGGTGGAGCTCCCTATGGGGCCACAAACCCTGTGAGGGGTGCGCCGAAATGAGGGTGGAACTGCATGGGAACACTGCCACTGGGGCCTTCGGTGGAGCTCCCAGAGGGGCCACGCACGAACCCTGTGAGGGGTGCGCTCCAATGAGGGTGGAACTGCATGCGAACGCTGCACTTGGGACTTCGGTGGAGCTCCCTATGGGGCCACGAACCCTGTGAGGGGTGCGTCGAAATGAGGGTGGAACTGCATGCGAACGCTGCCACTGGGGCCTTCGGTGGAGCTCCCTATGGGGCCACGAACCCTGTGAGGGGTGCGCCGAAATGAGGGTGGAAATGCATGCGAACGCTGCCACTGGGGCCTTCGGTGTAGCTCCCTGTAGGGCCACGAACCCTGTGAGGGGTGCGCCGAAATGAGTTCGAACTGTATGCGAACGCTGCACTGGGGCCTTCGGTGGAGCTCCATATGGGGCCACGAACCTGCGCCGAAATGAAGGTGGAACTGCATGCGAACGCTGCACTGGGGCCTTCGGTGGAGCTCCCTGTGGGGCCACGAACCCTCTGAGGGGTTCACCGAAATGGGATGGGCATGCCGAAAGCCGAGGCAAGGATGGGAAGCAGGAGGGAGGAGGAGGAGGAGGAGGAGGAGGAGGAGGAGGCGGGAGGGAGGGAGGGAGGGAGGGAGGGACGGAGGGAGGGAGGGAGGGACGCGGGGCGCTGTCTCCTCAAAACGAGGACCCAACACCACAGGATGGTTGGGAACAACAAAAACCTAAACAACATTCAAACATGATCAAACATGGTCCCCAAATCGTCCCCAAACTGTTTTGTGGACTGTGTTCGAACAGTCCCCCTGTAGAGGGACATGCCCGACTCAACCACGCCCCGAGGCGGTCCGAGCCGTTCTCACGAGAGCCCCGCAGAGGAGCGGAGGCCACGAGGGGCCACGGGAGCTGGCCTGCTGGGGCGGTGCTCGCCGGGTCGCCACGCGGAGCGCTTCGCGTGGCAGGTCTGGCGAGCTTGCCGCAGGCACGCCCGGAGAGCCTTCCGAGGCGGAGGGCCCCAGACAACACGCAGAACCTCAGCACGAGGCCGGGATGTGTACCCGAGCAATGGCAGAAACACAACAAAAAACACTCGGAGGTCCACGCGGATCTTTGGGATCCGCGCTGGACCCCCCTCCCTGGCGCGCGGAGCGCGCCAGGGGCGGCGCCAAAGGCGCCGCCCGGAGGCCCCAGCGACGATCCGAGAATTCCGCGCGGACCTCCGAGTTATCATGCTTATGTAATTGTTCGTTCCCCTAGTACACACGCCCGCAACCTGGGGAGCCGATGTCCAAGGACCCCAGGAGGCGCTGAGAATGGATGCGCAGGCCCCCAGGGGGTCGGGGGCAAACTGAGACGCACACCCACCGCCGACTGGGGTCCTGTCACAGTGGTGGGTATGACTGTGGAGGAACGCAACACGGCACAGACATAACCTCTCGGAGGTCCGCGCAGATTACTCGGCCCGGCGGTGGAGGCCCCCCACTGGCGCGCCGATCGCGCCAGGGGGCTCCAGCGCCGATCCGAGGGATGCGCGCGAACCTCTCCCGAGTTTAGAGCCTGGACGAGTACGAGCCCTGAGTCGTGTTCTGCCCCCCGAGTATAATAAAAAACCCGGCCGAGTAGAACCCTGCTCACGTCATGTCTGACTCCCAGAATACAAACGCCAGCCCTTGAACAGAAGCGCACAACTTGGACAAGCGTGTTCAACTACTCGCATGGTAGCTACTCGCAGATGGCCTGGATGCGACGCGGGGGACTCACGATACACTGCATACAGTCAACCCGCAAAATAAGGATGGGCAGCCTTCCCAAGGGTACCCGTGCATCCTTGCCCCCTCGGTCCATTCTTCGCCACGTTCGTTGGCCTCGCCCCGCTCGAAGAGCTTCGAATTGGGCGTCCAAAACCCTTGCATCCTTATCGCGCATCTTTACTGCACGGGTTGACTGTAGAGGAAGATCTACTTTTTGTCGCACGGTTTGCGAGTAGGCACTTTGCGAGTACTTGGACGCCCGAAATGGGTACGGAAAAAATGGGCACAATGCCCAACAACAATTGTTGGGCCCTGTCTCGAATGGACACGGGCCGCGGCGGCGCGGACAGCGAGCCCTGCTCACAATGCACAAGAACTGCTGTTGAGCATTGTACCCATTCTTTCCGTGCCCATTTCGTTCGTGCAGATCGGTGGGTGCTGGGTTCCCAGGCTCCCGGGTTCCTGGTCGATCTCCTCGGCGAAATCCATCCAATGTTTGGGGTTTCTCCCTAGTGTAATATTATACCCGGGTCGCCCGAACGAGGCGGAGGAGGAGGAGAAGGAGGAGAAGGAAGAGGAGGACAATGAGGAGGAGGAGGAGGAGGAGGAGAAGGAGGAGAAGGAGGAGAAGGTGGAGGAGGAGGAGGAGGATGAGGGAACGCGCCCGCTGACCCCTCCAGAGCCGCCGTGTCGCAGCCGGCCTTCGTGCCGGCAGCTGCACTGCAGCTGCTGCGCCGACCGGGCCGCAGGAGGCCCCGCAGGAGGCCCCGCGCACCCGGGGCCCCGCCCGCGGGGGGGGGCCTCCCGCGGCCCCAGCCGCGGCCCCGCCCAGAGGGAGCCAGTGCAGGACGAGAGCCTCCTCGTCCTCCCCTCCTCCTCCTTCTCCTCCTCCCCTCTCTCCTTCCTCTTCCTCCTCCCCTCCTCTTCCTCCCTCCTCCCCTCCTCTTCCTCCTCCCCTCCTCTTCCTCCTCCCCTCCTCTTCCTCCTCCCCTCACTCCTCCCCCCTCCCCCCTCCCTCCTCCCTTCTCCTGCCTGCATGCCCCCTCATGATCGGATTGGCACAGGACGCTGCCCAGGAGTTCCCTAAAATCAGGCGGCGCTCGTGTCTGCAGCCCGTCTGGAGCGTGAGGAAATCCGGGGGATCCTGGAAATCCTGAGGCGTATCATTGTCATGACCGCTTGCTCCGCTGACACTGCCGCATCTGGACCTGTCCCAGGCATAGAAGAAGAACTCGGCATGCCAATCCTCCCACCTCGAGTAATGCCCGGGCCAGTGCTGGCGGCAAGCTGACCGCAGGCTGGCGCAGAGAATCAGTGGCCGACGCTCTCCGTTTTCTGAGACGCGCTGTCCCGCTCGTTTGCCTTCGCCGGCTGCTGCCGAAGTGGGGATCGACTCCCCCGATTCCTTGCAACAGTGAGGTGGAGGGATCAGGGAGGGGGCTCGCTCAGTTGAGCAGGGACCGACCGTCCCGGCATTCTTATAGTCCTACCACGAAATGTGCTTAGAACCCGAAACTGTTCCAGCAATAAACATACTGTTCTTAGAACATACACCCGATGTGCTAAAACAAGACAGGCTCCGCCAGAAATGTTCTAAGAACTTTTCGTGGGAACCACAACAGATTCCTAGAACATTGTCCGGTAGGGCTATAGGCGTGCCAGGACGCTTCGCCACTGCTTGACTCGGGGAGGGAGAGTGCCGACCCGAAAATTGGCCACGCCTCTCGCCGACAGGTCGGCGAGAGGCTGCCCGATAGCGAAGCCGCACGCGGGGTGTGCCGCAGGGCCCCGCGGGCGATCGATGGACGAGGGCCGACGCATTCCCCCCCCACAGCCTCTCCCTCCTAACCTAGACGAAGGAAAAACGCCATATACAGTCGGCCTTGATTGGACAGGACACGCGAGAGGGCACAAGACCCTTCCGAGGGCCACCTCGCCATAGGAGTGTAAGAAGGCACGTGTCGCGAGGCACAGGACACAAGGGTACCCTTGAGTTGTGTTGTTCCCATCCTACTCAAGGACCGCATCCCAGAACAAAAATTAGAGCACCCAGAAAAGTGTCAAAACAGTGTCGAAACAGTGTCGAAACAGTGTCGGGCGAGTGTTTCCCAGGGCCCGAAGTGTGAAAACCCTCGAGTTTCGGCAATTCTGGGGGGGGCTCGAAGTTCTTTCTCGTGATCCAGGCTAAAGTAAATTGAGACATCATAACCCTTGAGCTGGCAGGGTCGACCTACTAATCCGGGCCGACTGTGTACATAAACTGTTGTGGCGCTCCGCGCGGATTTCTTGGATCTGGGCTGGACCCCCCTCCCTGGCGCGCGGAGCGCGCCAAGGGCGGCGCTGGAGGCGCCGCCGGGAGGGCCCCGACGCAGATCCAAGAGACCCGCGCGGAGCGCCACAAGTTTGTGCGCACGGCGATGTTTCTTCTTCGACCGTGGGCGATCGATGGACGAGGGTCGATGCATTCCCCCCCCCCCGAGCCTCTCCCCCCGAACTCGGGAGCGGCCAAGAGGGGGGTGTCCAAGAGGGGGGGGTGCAAATCATGACCGGCGGCATGTGCGCGGCCCAGCGGGGGGGCCAGGGACGCAACGGAACAGGAAGAGGCGCCATGAAATCTGAGGAAACATCATGGCCCCCGCCACGATATCCCCCCCCCCCTAGTCATCACCCCCCTCTTTGCCGCTCCCCCCGAGCCGCTGCCCCTGACGCGGGGGCGCGGCGCGTGCACCGCGCAAGCCCCGAGGCCCCGGCGGCCCGGGCAGGGCCAGCCTCAGGCGCCGCCGAGGCACACCGCGCAGCCGCCCGGCTCCCCGAGCGCCTCGGCGAGGAACCGCTGGTCCTCCTCGATGGGCAGCTGCGCGAGGAGAGCCGTCACGGCCTCGGCGACGTCCTTTGGCGCACCGTTGCGCCGACCCCTGCCCCTCTCCCCACGAGCGTGGCCTAAGAGGAAAGAGGACTGTGCACGTGCACCGATGCTGGCCAGGCCCATCCTGAGCCCAGGCTCGGTGCATGCGCCCTCTGACCTTGGCCAGAAAGGTATACAGTCCAAAACCCGAATAAGGACGCGCGGCAAGGACGCAAGACCCTTGGAAGCCGAAGTTGGGATTTTTGGGGCGGCGGACGACGAAAACCTCAAGGACGCAAGAGCAAGGAAGAGCAAGGACGCAAGGGTACCCTGAGCAAAGTCGCGCGTCCTTATTAGGGTTCTTGACTGTATGCACCGATCCTGGGTCAGGGGATGGACGCTGTCAGGATCGGTGCATCCGCCCGAGGCCTGGGCCCCGACGTGGCAGAGGTGCCCCTCCGGATGGGGACGTGCAGGCGGTGCCTCTCTCTCTCTGGCCTCGAGGGGCCCACGCCCCCGGCTGGGGTGGCGGGAGGGTGGGGCTGAGCTGCCACGGCCCGGTGGGGATGGGGCTTGCTGAGATGACAGTGAACCTCCGCTAGGCTCGGGTCGGGCGAAAGGGGGGGATAGCAAAGGGGGGGGGGTGAGACTCAGCTCACGTAGCTGCCTTTCCCGGCGCCTCCCGGCGCCGGGAGGCGCCCACGTATCGAGGAGTGGGCCCCTCGGTGAGGCCGAAACCAGCTGCATGCCGCAAATTTCGTAACCCCGCCTTCCCTAATTTCCCAATCCCCCCCTTTCGTCCGGTCCGACAGGTGGCGACGGCCGAACCCTGCCCCACCAACCATCGGTACCGACGGGAGGCGGGGATCGACGGGGCTCGGTCCGCCGGACTCCGAACCCTCTGGCCCCGCCGCCCGTCGGGCTGCCCGAAGCTTGCCTCGGCGAGGGGGGGGACGCTTCTTTTGACCAGGGACCGACCGTCCCGGCATTCCTATAGTCCTACCACGAAAAGTTCTTAGAATCCAGAAATGTTCTAAGAGCAACAACAATGTTCTTTGAACATGAACCCGATGTGTTAAAACAAGGCAGTCCCAGCCAGAAATGTTCTAAGAACATTTCGTGCATACCACAACAGGTTCTTAGAACATTGCTTGGTGGGGCTATAGGCGAGCCTGGACGCTCCGCCACTGCTTGATTCTTAGAAGGAGGCTGTTTCTGAGAAGGCGCCGGCCTGACACTGATGGATCATGCCCGCGCCTCATGAGAACCGGGGGTGCTTCTG